TTTAACAAAATAATCCATTATCAGTGAAGCGAAGCATCACCGCAAAAATATACGATGACGAGGACGCAGAGTTCAAATACATGATACACAACAGTATCCTGATGTGGGGTGGCTATTTTAACCTTTACGTACAAATTATTCAGACCGCACCTTTTTTGCGTTCAGGAGATAGACAACAACTTCAACAACAAGACGCGGTGGCTTTGGTTCGTTATGACCGTTAGGTTATCTCATTTCGTTTGGTCTGGCAGAGTTCAAGCTCAGTGCAGATATAGTTGTAGATTATATCTGCCTTTAGCTTGATCACGTGTGAGATGTACGCCGCATGCGCATACAGACTAAACAGGCTAAGGAACTTTTTTATGTAGTACGTTATTATGGATTTGCTAAACTAGTTTAAACTAAATAAACAGTGTGCGCCTTTAAAGAAATTGATTTCACTCAGACAATACATATGTACATAAAAATAAAATAAAATAAATAAATAAATAAGTAAATAAATAAATAAACTACAAATGTATTTAGCACTGTTGTGCTAATTGGAGACACTGTAAATAAAGAAAAAAAATCTTTTAAATAGAACATAAACTATTAAGAATCCCAACTGGCGGGAGGCTGACCAGTTGGCTATTTACACAACGTATTCGAGGAGTTGAACTCGGGACTACCGAGAGCAAATCCAGATAGCGGTAGGCTGGAGGATTTAAACCAGGGACCTCTAGATTTCAAATGCAGCACCCTAAACCACTTGGTCATGTCGCCTCCTTTGTGTGCTTTCTGTTTGATATGGCCAGTCCTGGCGAAAAGCGAACCACGTTCGCAGTGGTGGAATTCCGACACGTGGTATTTGTATTCAGCAAAAAAGTTTTCAAGATTTGGAAACTAATTAAGTACAACTATCATGATTCCCTGCAGTGGCCTCATAGACAATAAATTTGACGATTGCGTAACGTAGTCGTAACGGAGTTAGAGAGAACACATTCTTCCCCCACCAAAAAAGGAAAAAGCAGAAACAAAGGCTAACATAAAATTACGCTTTGTTTTCACCCTGCGCTTTTTTAATTTTATCGTTTTAAACCTTTTGTAACGGTCAGTCGGGAAATTTGAGCTACAGTTCCACCCCTATTAAACGGCTGCCTCCTCTTCTGGGAAATGGATAGAGGCCGCTTAATAGAGGCGAATAGATTAGCCTTCATCAGGACTTTCATTACTGGCCATCCAATAGGGGTGGCCATTTATATAATAGGTGTTCGATTGTCGCTCTTTTCAGAAATAGCACTCTACAATAGGCATGTTTTATAAGAATATCGATGCTAAAACGTGCAAAATTTAACAATATTTAAGAACAAACCCGAGGCTGAAAGTTTCATAAGAATACAATTGTGTGTTAAAATTTTGTAAATAAAATTACATGGTTTTAACTAAACCGTATAAAGGTCTTCTTTTCTCTAATCAGCAAAAAAGCCAAAAAGTAACATAGAGCACTAGCCGTATGTTCGATGTAAATAACATTTCTATTAGAAGCTATGTGTGTCATATCAGGTTTTAGTGCCTGCAGGCTGACTGAAAAATAAGAGTATTCAGCTTCAGCCAAACAATATTCTTACAAAAAAAAGTGTATACTAGTACTATAAACAAACACACGCCTGCTTTATCAAATATTCTCGATCTACTTTTCTAAATCATCTTGACTTGAATAAAGCAGGCTAACCAGTTTTTTGTGTGGGATACCTGTGGTATCCCACACTATGGTCATCGACTCGTGTCCGTTAATGCGAATGGTTGCAAAGCTTGCATTGCATTCTAAATCCACGTATCCCACACGTGAACCCTTTGGGCACCTAGTTTTTACCCTCTTTTTTTTTTTCTTTTTTTTTTCATAAGAAAGGAAATCAAACACAAGAAATTTTAATATCAGTGACTCACTTTCACACAGTTTTTAGCACATGTGCAAGCAAGGCGTGAGGACCAAGTAACATTTTATTTCTCAATTTTACTTCTTTAAAGGGCCCTAGTCAGCCACAACTTTGTTTTTGTTGACATGTGAGAGTTTGGCTATTATGTTTTATTCGGAGGATGTCGAAACGAAGGAAATGACTGATTAAAGATAATTAAGATAATTTCAGGAACACAACTTACAGTAAAGCAATAAGATTTCGCTTCACCATGCAATATTAATAACGTCCATGGCATCGAAAACGGCGAAGGCTGATAAGGGTCCTTTAACGTACTGGCTGTGCACTAAGGCATTGAAAATGCGATTATCTTAACATAGGCGATTTAGAAATACCAGAACAATTAAAATAAGCGATTCGAACCCATACCATCTAAAACCAGGTCTTAAATCAATGTGTAATCAGACTCTATCCGTGCGAAAATATTTATGTAACGACATTTTACCATTCATCATGCAAATTAGCGGACTTCATAACAAGACTCGCAGAATATTTTCATAATCACCTTGAAAATAACGTCATGATAGCGCCGAGAGGATGGTTCTTATCACTTATTCTCTATTTTCCTGTCGTTTTGAGGAAATCGTTACAATGAAAACTACAGTTATCATTTGTCGGGGGGCGTTTGCTCTAAGTTAGCTTACCAGCTTTCTTGAGCCATTCGTTGTTGTTGTCGCCTCTTTGTCTAGCCAGTCCCATTCCGCTCAGGTGCCCACTCTCCCGCTAAAACTAAATTATAAAGCGGTTGCCAGCATGAACACTTTACACGCTTTGCAGCACCCGCTCGCTTCTCACTTTTAAAGAACACCAAATCATTATATGGTTCTTTTGATTGATTCAATAATCTTTAACTAACCCGATTGGAGGTGTACGTTCTCTTAACAGCCTTAACGAGTGCTTCGGCATCACAGTAACTGAAATTAAAATAAGTCTAAATGATGAAGGTGTAGCTCTGTGCAAGTTATGTTTGCTATAATTTACGTGATGGAGAATCTCTCCCGTTCCGGTCCTCACCAATCATCGGATCCACAGGTTTAAAGAGTAGCCTGGAGTTGGCACATCTCCGGCAAAATCTCCAAAATCAGATTGACCACTTGACCAATACACAAAGGAAGCTTCGATAGCCTCAGTTACCCCAATCCCGTGGTCGGCGCGATTGCAGCTACTTCCACCTCCGCCAATCATAATCACTGCCCCGTCCCCACTACTCCAGTCACACCAGAAACCGATTGCTTGGGAGCCTTGTATCTCTCCACTGCATTTCGCCTGCTGGAAGCCGGCAGTTAATTGGTATTGTCCGCCATATTGTACAGTGCAATTCCCCAAGCACTGATCGGAGGCCCAAACTACACCATTTCTGAAATCGCCATAGCTTGTGACTTTGGAGCGGAAAGTCTGTCCACCCAGACAGTTAACCGTGGTCTGCAGCAAAGGTGTATGTTGTGAGTCGTCACTGCGCGTGATTTTGAATTCGCTTCCGCTTACCAGCCAGAATGCTGGCCATATCATGTCAGCGTTGATCGACGGATCACTTGTTTCCCCCAAAACGTCATTCTTGTCATACCACCAGTGCCCAGTATTATTCATCCAATTTTTGTCATCATCGTTTGAAAACCGAGCGACCAGTGTCCAACCTATGCCAGTTGACGTCATATCGCAATATGCCTAACAAAGATTAATTGAGATAACCAGACTTAGAGGAAGTCAGTTTAATAGACAGTCGAACACCGCATTTTTTT